ACCACGACGCGTCCAAAACGCCACGACGTGGCCCCATTACAACGACACGCTCGGGAGGATATGATTGTCCAGGCCGAGCTCAACGCTAACTGAATGCAAAAGCAAAAACTGAACTGAACGCAGGATTACATTGAGGCTTACATTTCACCCCCTAATCCTGACGTTCCTTGCTGATCTCGATGACGCCAAGCTTATCACGGAGTTCACAGAACCGTTCTCGTGCCAGCGGCTTCGTCAGAATGTCAGCGATCTGCTCCTCAGTGTAGACGTGTTCAATGTTCAGTTTCCGGCCGTCTCCAACACACTCCCGAATGAAATGGAACCTCACATCAATATGTTTACTACGTTCATGGAAGACAGGATTCTTACTGAGGGCAATAGCCGATTGGCTGTCCATCTTGAGAATGAAGGTTGTGCGCTCCTCGCTCTTCAACTCGGCGAGCAGCTGCGACAGCCAAACACCTTGGCAGGCCGCTGTCGTCCCTGCTATATATTCAGCTTCGCAAGAGGACAAAGCGACGACCTTCTGCTTCTGTGACTGCCAAGTCACTGGACAGGAGCCGTAGAAGAACAAGACGCCAGTGGTGCTCTTCCTTGTATCAATGTCGCCGCCCATGTCGGCGTCGCTGTAACCCAACAGCTTCAACTCCTGGCCACCGTGCTTGTAGTGGCAGCCATAATAAAGTGTCCCTGCAATGTACCGCAAGATACGCTTCACCGCGTTGAGGTGCTCAACAGTGGGGTGCTCCATGAAGCGGCTGACGTAGCCGACGGCAAAGGAGATATCCGGCCTTGTGTGCACCAAGTAACGCAGGCAGCCAACCAGGCCCCTGTACTCAGTCACATCTACCGGCGCCGCTGTACTCGCCTTTGACAGCTTCAGGCGATGCTCCATCGGAGTGTGGCACGGATTGCAGCTCTCCATGCCAGCGCGCTGTAGGATCTTGCGCGCATAAGCTAATTGCAGCAGCTTGATCCCATCGCGCCCCTACTGCACCTCAATTCCTAGGTAAAAACAGAGCAAGCCAAGGTCACTCATTTTAAATCTGGAAGACATCTGCTGCTTGAATTTGGCGATCTTGTTGGCGTCGTTCCCGGTGATGATGAGGTCATCGACGTAGACCCCCACCAACAGCCGGGATGCTCCCTTGCCGCGGGCGTACACGGCGTGCTTCGACGTGCTGTGGCTGAAGCCGAGTGCCACCAGCGTCTCGTGGAGTTTGGCGTTCCACGCGCGCGGTGCTTGACGGAGACCGTAGAGTGCCTTGTCCAAGCTCAGCACCTTGTTCTCGTGCCCGACGACGGTGAAGCCGGGAGGCTGCCTGACGTAGACCTCTTCAACCAGCTCCCCGTTCAGGAACGCGGACTTTACGTCCATATGGTGCACCGGCCACCCCTCCTGGGCAGCTAGCGCAAGGAGCAGCCGGACGGACTCGATGCGGGCGACGGGCGCAAAGACCTCGTCGAAGTCCACCCCGGGCTGCTGCACATAGCCCTTCGCCACGAGACGGGCCTTGTGTTTGACGATGTCGCCGGCAGCATCCTTTTTCACCTTGTAAACCCACTTCAAGCCTATGGGTCGATGCCCAGGCGGAAGGGGCACTAGGTGCTAGGTCTTGTTGCTTTCGATGGACTTCATCTCCTCCATCATGGCTCGACGCCAGCACGCGTGCTTCTCAGCCTCTGCATATGAAGCGGGCTCCTCCTCTATCTACAAATGGAGCTCTGCAGCTACCTGGCGCTCGGCATAGGCCGGTGGAGATGGAGCCCCGATGACATTGTCAATGGTGCGATACCTGGGCTCGGCGTCGTCGGCATCGGCGTCCAAGTACTCCTCTGCATCCGGTGGAGGAGACACGAACTCTAGGGCTGGCGGTGGAGGCTCCAGTGGCGCTGGTGTGCTTGGCGTAGCGGGCGTCGGTGCTGGAGAGCGCCCCACAGGTGTACTGGAGAAGGGGATTGGTGTCCAAGTGCCTAGGGCCGGGTCAACGGTGTACTGCTCGTCTCCCAGCTCCATCGTGTGCTACTCGATGGTGAAATCTGCTGCAACACCCAAGTCCTCGCTCTCCCCGGTCCAGGTTGCGGGCTCGTTGAAGACGGCATCCCGCGACACCACGGCGCGCCGCGACGCCGGGTTGTAGAAGCGCCACGCCTTGGCGCCGGGTTCGTAGCCGATGAAGACGACTGGCGTCCCACGATCGTCGAGCTTCTTCAGGTTCGGCGTCGTCTCCTTGATGAACGCCACGCAGCCGAACATGCGGAGGTGGTGGACGTCGGGCCTGCGACCATGCCAGGCTTCGTACGGCGTCATGCCATCGACAGCCTTGGTGGGCGCCCGGTTCAGAATGTACACTGCCGTGGCGACTACTTCTCCCCAGAACGTCGCCGGCATGTTGCGAGCTTTCAGCAGACTTCGCGCCATGGTCACCACCGTTTGATTCCTCCGTTCGACCACGCCGTTTTGCTGAGGCGTGTACGGCGCGGTGTGTTGTCGTTCGACGCCGCGGTCGGCGTAGTAGGACTCGAACTCGATGGAGGTGAACTCCCCGCCGTAGTCGGTCCTGAGTACGCGCAGGTGCCGCCCAGTCTCCACCTCGACGCGCGCTTGGAACTTCTTGACCGCTGCGAGAGTATCACTCTTGGCGGCGAGCAGCGCCACCCACATGTACCTGCTTCGGTCATCCACCAACAGTAGGAAATACAGCTTACCACCCGGGGTTGCCGGCATGATAGGGCCGCACAGGTCACCATGGACCAGGTCTAGCAGCCCCTCCGCCCGCCGCTTTGCCTACGACGGGAACGGGCTCCGCTTGAGCTTGGTGGTGACGCAGTCGGTGCAGAGCTGATGAACGTTCTTGACGTGGGGAAGCCCTCGCACCATGCCCCACTCCTCGAGCTTGCGCAGGGCATCAAAGTGCAGGTGGCCATAGCGTTCATGCCACAGCCACGCACTATCATTGGCGCATGCAGATAGGCAGAGTGGCCACGCGATCTTCACCCGAAGGAGGTACAGGCGGTTTGCTGAGCGCTTCACCCAAGCGATCGGCCACCCCTTTTCGTCGTAGATTCGGAGGACGCCGTGCTTGGCGTGGACGTCACAGCCGCCCTCATCAAGCTGGCCGAGGCTGACGATATTAGTGGTGAGCCTTGGAATGAAGTACACCCCCGTGAGCGGGAGGTGCTCGCCGGTCTTCCCCTCGAACAGGACGGTGCCTGCCCCCTCGATTTCGACCTCCGAGCCATCACCGAACCGGACGGAGCCGTGGATCCCCGAATCGATGTTGACGAAGGCGTCGTGGGAGCCAGACATATGGTTCGTGGCCCCGCTGTCGAGGTACCAGAGGGTGTCGTCGCGGTCGGAGGCACCATCAAGCTGGGCGAAGACCTTGCCCTCCACAATCCGGAGAGGGCGGCGCTCGGGTGGCGACAGCGGCGCGTGGTGGGGAAGACCAGTTGGGGACGAGTGTGGCGCAGGCCATCAGTAGAGTGGGCTCGGTGTCCTCTTCAGCCTGTGCGACATGGGCCTCTGCCTTGGCCTTGATACGGCAATCCTTGGCCCAGTGGCCGTATTTGCCGCAGCGCTTGCACTGGTAGGCCCTGGTGGCCCTGCCGGAGTTGGGCTTGGCCTGCTTCCCGTCGCGCGAGGTGGAGCTGCCGCCCTCACCTTTGCCGCGCCCATGGCCTTGCCCGCGGCCGCCATGCTTCTTGCCGCCAGAGCTCGACGCTGCGCCGCGCCCGGCACTGTCTTGGTCACGGCGAGCCCTGCGGCGCGCCTCCCAATCTTCCTCGGTGAGAAGGAGACGCCCCATGGCGTCCGTCACGGTCTTCGGCTTGGCACGGTCCTCGAAGACATGAAGGCGCCCGATCACATCTTCAATTGAGATAGCATTGAGGTCGCTGAACATCTCGATGGAAACGGCGGCCTGGGTCAGCTTCTCCGGCACCACCTGCAGCATTTTTTTCACTACCTCAGGCTCGGTGATGTTGTCGCCGAGGGTGCGCAGATTGGTGGCGAGCGTGGTGATCCGGACGCCGAAGTCACTGACGCTTTCGCCTTCCTTGAACAAGAGATTGCCGAAGTCGCGGCAGAGCTGCTGCGCGTTGGCGTCGCGCGCATGCTCGTCGCCGATCCGGAGGATCCTGACGGCGTCCCATGCCTCCTTCACGGTATGGCGGATGGCGAGGGAGTTCCAGAGCTTGGACGGGACGAAGCGCAGCAACCCCGCCATCGCCTGTCGATCATCATGGTACTCCTCGTCCGCGTCATCGTCGATGCCGTTGACGATGACTTCCCAGACGCGCAGCGTCTGGAAGTTCACCTCCATGACCAACGCCCACTCAGGGTCGTTTGTACGCGTGAGCATCGGCCACTGCACATGCGCAGATGGGCGCTCGACAATGCGCTCTATGACGCGCAACCCATGCTGGGTGCGAGAGCGGCGACTGTTGGAGCGGCCACGGCGGCGACGTGGTGGCGAGCGCGACGGAGGCTCCTTCTTCCCGCCGGAGCCGTCGCCCTTGTCCGTCTTTCTCTTGGACGGAGAGTCGGACATGGCGGCGGCGTGATCTCGGCTCTGATGCCAAATGTCAGCCGGACTCTCTCCGGCGTGCTCTCAAACTCGCTGTGAATTCAAGAACGAATGAACACAAGAACTTTTTGTGCCAAGCACGAACTCGTGTCAGCGGTTTTCTGATTAAGGTGCTCCTACATATACACATGAGCTTCTAACTGCCAAAAGAGAAAAAGAAGGAGCGGCTGAGCTAACCTCAGCTCTCCGCCATGCACGCCATGCTCGTCATGGCCCCGATCTGTGCGCGCCATCCCACACACCAGAGCACAACGCGCACGCTGCGGCAGGCAACACCACGACGCGTCCAAAATGCCACGACGTGGCCCCATTACAACGACGCGCTCGGGAGGATATGATTGTCCAGGCCGAGCTCAACGCTAACTGAATGCGAAAGCAAAAACTGAACTGAACGCAGGATTACATTGACGCTTACAAGCAGCTGGTCCGGCTTCCATTTGGGATGGCCATGCTGGAGTCTTCGTCTCCACTCTTCTTGGCCTTCTTGGCACGCTTAGCTTCACCAACATTCCACGCGCATTTCCGGCCCTGCATTTACACGATTTCAAACAGCCAGCATTTGCATTAGAAATCTGAGCGATTAGGTATCTATGATATGGTATGAAGAACATCACTGGTCAAAAGAAAGCTGATCACCAAGGCTTACTCTCGTTTGGGTTTGGCCATCGTGCTCTTCTACCATGTGCTTCCTCTTGCTTTTGTTTGTAGTGGCACTTACTGAGCCAAGCATACTGACGCTCATCGGATCATCCAGATCCTCACAGCTCGGATCACCATTCCCATAACCGTTGAAGGAATGGTTTGCAATCACATTCAGGTACTCAGTTGCACCATGCTCCTCATGCACCGAGCCCAGGGCACCTGGTGCAGTGCAGGAGCTTCTCCCAAGGGCCTCATTTGAGTTACTCAAAAAATAGTAGCCCTCACATGCAGGTGGCACAACAAGGCTACTGTCACTGTATGATATAAAAATAATTCGGAGGCAGCGTATACACATGAGGCATGGAAGCAATAATTAGCATCCCAAAAGGATAGCACTTCAGGTGCAGAATAAGAACTGGAATCTCCAAGGCGGTCCCCTAAACAGAGCTCAGCAGAATCAATTAAAGAAGGGCATGGGATAGTTGCGAACATTGTATGGTATATTTTCTGAGGTGCATCATGATTACCTAAGTATCTTTATCCTATGAAACATAAAAACAAAATGTTTTGAATAAGCAGTGTTTAAATGGCACCACACCTATGCAAATGAGGGCTGAATGGCAGAGCATATTAAAGAAGGGCATGGATAGCTTTGAACCCTGTATGGTATCTTTTTTTTAGGTGTACCATAATTACCTAAGTACCATTTTATCCTAGGAAACAGAAAAAAGAAAATCGACACGTTACAGATATCATAAAAGAATCAGCGGCAATAGCAGCAATCTTGCAAAGCATGAAGGAAAATAATATGTGGTGTTTAAATAGCACCACACCTATGCATATGAGGATTGAATGGCAGAGCAGATTAGCAAACAATAATTATAGCTCTCTCTCTCATTACTATTAAGTGAATAATGAACTAAAAGTAAAGATTGATCATGAAAGTTATATCAGAAAAGAAAACACGCTAGCCACCTTGCTGCCATCACAGAAATGAATCTAAAAGCATGATGAGGATAGGGAACATCTCAGAAGACTCTTTTGCCAATGGGGAAGTTTAGGCACAGAAACTTACATTGTCTTGAGAAAGTTTGCAGGAAAACAATGTCTTTGTTCGTACGTGTTGCTAGCAGGGAGCAAACATGCTTCCTCAGTTCTCCAATTCCTTAATAAAAAAAAGCATGGGATGTTTAGTGTTTCTTATGTGAGAAGGAGCAACACAGTTATGCAGATATTGATGGTCATAAATTGCAGTTGGTGTAACTGAAGGAACCATTTAGCAAGTGCACCTAGGTATCTAGTTACTCACTGAAACCACTTTCTCTGAGGTGAGCCCAATGAAAAACTAAATATCTATACCTATGTTTTAGTGGCCTTGTACCATCGAAGCAGTTTACTTGAACTGAAAAAATGGGATGGGTTGTAAAAAATTGTAAGCTGAACTTCTCACATGATTGAGGCTAAATATTGTATGAATATATGTTTCATAATCTCAGCTTATCTTCCTCTGAAATATTTTATCTGCTGTGTGTAAACTTAAGTATATTAAGCCAGCATGCACCTCCTATGAACCAAGTAATCTGGTGCACTATTTTAACTTGAAGTAAAGCATTCGTCATGATCTACCCAAAAGCACACATGATAGGGACCGCATGTTCTATGGAAGACTGAAATATGGTAGAGTGAAATTTTATGTTAATCCACCCACATGATATGATCTCCAGGGAATAGGTTTCATCAATCATTAATATGGGATTGGAGACTAGAGCACTAGGAGATTTTCTCACACACCATCTATTTAGACTGAAAATGTACGAGACTTCCCTGGAACCCTGAAACTTGGCTAAGTTTTGCCAAAGCTATACTGCTAAAGAAGGTTATGTACTCTTGTCACACAACAAGTGGCTCTGGTGTGCAAACCTTGAACTACCAATTGTTTGGTAGTAGGATTTGTATAATCTTTTGAATGGCTACAGATTAAGAATAACCTCTGAATCCGCAGCTAGAAAAAAATTCAGCAGTAGAGCTACCACTAGAAATTCAAAGATAACAAAGCAAGCAACGTGCAGGCCCAAACTTGCATTCTGAAAGTCTGGGTACTCACGAAATCCAGGCATAGCATTTAAGAGTACAAGACACAGATTTTCATTATCATAAGGCTTGCTAACCGTGCTCTAGGTGAGTAGGTGACATACACCGCAAAACTATAGAAGTGTTAGATGTTGGCATGAAGAAGGATGCAACCAAATTATCAGTTAGCTGACAGGACACAGGAGAGTATCAAAGAAAAGATGATAACTTTCTTCAGAGATTTACAACAATGATAATTCATATTTAGAACTAAATATTGGCCAATATGCATGCCCCATGCTTTGTGGTAAACTATCTGTAGGGCACATTTTCTATAGAATAATAGAAGATGTGGCAGAAAGAGAAACACAAACATCCATGCAGCATACATTTCAGATCAGCTACCAACAAGTATGGTAGTGGGACAATGTTGGAAATCATAAAATGCCAAGCAAGTTATGCCACAGATGTCAAAGTTTGTCTTTCCACAAGAGCTGTACAGCAGTGGCTACAATGCTACATGGCACTGGTATAACAGCTTCATACACATTATCAAGATTCAGAATACGTCTAGCATTCCCAAAGTAGTGCATAACTGCAAGAAATAAGTAAATTTCTTCTCACAGCAGATCAGCACAAGAATCAACAGGTAAACAAAGAACCCACTGCACTTTGCAGAATCACGATCACCCTATGCAAAAAGACATGGACGAGGATAGCAGAGGAACTACAATTACTGTAGAGTTTTCACTTATCTAAAAACTCAGAATTCGCACCAACCAATGCAATTAACCAATGCAATTAACAAATAGTTATGGCTTCCTCTGCTTCATTGGATTGCACTGATGGATCTAGCTATCACAACAATCTCCTAATTTAGTGGTCAAAAGAATAATAGCACGCCTTTGGTCTAATCTGAAAGTGAATATAAGTGTTGCTGCTAGCTAAATATATACATCAAAATGTTCAAGTAAAATACCTTCAAGCTGAACCCATAATTGCAGCTTAAAGTTTAATTGATTTCCTTCTCTCTTTTTTATATAGAACAGTCACAGCATGTTTTTCGCATAAAGGACTAAAGTAAAATGACTATGAATTGCCATCAGTGTGAATTTTGTCTTAATACTTGAAATAAGTTGCAGATCTAGCACAACAAAACTTACATGCAAGTGATGGGTTGTGATGTGTACAAGATATTGAATCCAGCTGATTCATCTGCAAAATCAACTAAAGAAGTAAACATCGCATCTAAATCGGGTTCCTTCTCCATAGAGGGGAAGAGATGTGGATCTAGATTGAATGAAAGTTTGGCAAGAGAAGCAACACAAACCTTGAATCTTTCAGTCCTTTCTCACATTTGTCTCAACCTTTCTGCCACCAAGAAAAAAGTACAAGAAAATTAGTTGTCCCCAAACCCTAGCACACAGGGGAATGGGATGGAAGGAAAGGGATGCCGAGGTGATGCACCTGGATGCGGAAGGGGAACAGGGATGCAATGGTGGTAGCCCTCTTGCTCGCCGGCGGTGGCCTAGGGCTGCGGCGGCGTCTGTCCCTTGGGCAGCGGGGTCTAGGGCCACAGCCTGGGGGGGCGGGATGCTGGGGCGATGGTGGGCTGGCGCGGCGGGGAGCTGGGGCGACGGCGTCCGTCCCTTGGGCGGCGGGGTCTGGGCCGTGGCCTGGGGTGGTGGGATGCTGGGGCGATGGCGGGCTAGGGTGGCGGGAAGCTGGGGCGACGGCGGGCTGGGGCGGCGATGGCTGGGTGGCGCTGTCTCCGTCGGCCTACGACAGCGTGCGGCTGGAGCGACGGCTTGAGCGGCGTACATACGTGGGGCTGGAGCGACGGCTTGAGCCACGAGGTCCCGTTGTGGCGGCTCCTAGCCCCGATGGTGGAGGAGGCGGGGGGAGCATCGGAGGAGGATGCATCCGCTAGGGAGCAAGGTTAGGGTGGTAGACTGCTCGGCGACAATGATGTCTCGGGCAGCAGCGATGGGCCTTGTTCACCAGAGACTACCCCTACGCATGGTTGGGACCGGGCCAGTGGTGGGGAGCGCGAGACTGACGCGGGCACGGCGAGCTTGACATCGCCTGCTGTCATGTGTGCCTGGGGAAGGGAGGGGCCAGTGAGGGGAGCGAAGGGGCAAGTGGGCACCGGCGGCAGGGAGGGGGCCGCCAGGATAGGGTTCCCTCAGGTCGCCAGCCAGCCTAAACGACCACAATCATGCTCTATAGAGATAAGTAGCCCCACATATGAATATATACTAATATACAAACTGTATGAGAAGTATATTCCAATGTCTAAGAAATTCGTTCTATCCAAATAATGCTTTAAAAAAATGTAGGTAGGTTCGAGGAAAACTCGTATCTTTCAATTGGAACAAGAGGATGGCATAATCACCGGTGATGCAAAATTTTAAAAAGTTATATCACCAAATACAATAAAAACTTGTTTAGTTCTCTGAGCCCACATTTTGTGACAATGGATGAGGATGGTGAGGAACAGGATGGATGTAGCACCCGGTTTTAAGAACAAAACCAGATACACATCATATGTGAGCCTAGGAATTCAAATCTCACATATAGCTACAAATAAGGGTAATATCGAAAGACAATGCTAAATATATAACGTACTTAGTATAAAGGATATAACCTTAGACAGCAGACAGCGGAAAGACAACTCTGATCTTTAGGTGAAGACTTTAATTCCACAGGGACAACTGACTGGTTGATCACAAGCCTAATTCCTCCTAACTCTAGCAATCCGGTTCCCATCCGAGATTTTTCCAAAGTATTAAAAAATAAAGCAAGCGTAAGTACATGTCGTACTCAATAAATATAACATGGGGCTCATGAGGTTCAGAAGGCTGACACTGGTTTAACTGCAATTAGCTTTTAATGAGTCATCTTTTAGCAACTGGGTGGCAACAAGTTTATTCATAAGCCCATATAAACACATGATCAAGTAAATATGAATAATAAATAGCATAATCAGTAATCATTAGTGAGCATCTTTATCATCAATATCATTAGTGTTCATCATCTATTCCGTAAGGGTCCAAGGCCGCTCGTGACCGTGAGCATGGCTGATATACCAGTTTTACACTCTGCAGAGGTTGTACACTTTCACTGTAAGTCGTGATTTACCCTTTCACCCGAGGTGATCAGCCTCTTGACCCGCTACCAAGGAAGGTCGACATGGTTCACTATGAAGCCTTTAAAGGTTCATCTAACAAGTTGGGACCATTAGATTGACTCGGCAAACAACTGTAGGAACCCCCCTTCCCGATGGCACAATGACACGCAACATATACACTAGGGACAGAGGTTGTCCTATACCCAATTCAGTAAGCCATTCTTATGCCAATAAAGGTAACCTCTAACAAGCTAGAAAAGGTCCTCATACTAAGCTAAAGCCAGAGCCATATAGCCCTCACAGTTGTACTATAAGTCCTGGATGTTCACTGACAGATAAATCCTTAGGGAGAGGAATCTAGAGCACCATAAAAATAGCCCAATGCTCTAGCCCCCTTGTTCCATGTTGCTAAAAAGCATCTTTTAATGTTTGTTGCATATTACATTAGTCAAGTTACAAGATCATGGTTATAGTTGAGCACTAGCATCATACTACCCAATACAATAACTCGTAGAAATCAAGGTACAGGGTAACAAAGTACTAGGAAATCCTTAGTGGTAGTCAAGGTAGACACATGCAGTATGAATTAGATGATTAAAGGTATATAGAACAACAAGGAAGGTCCCATACTATACTTGCCTTAAAACTCTGATCCTCTTCTACTGAATTGTAACCTCCAAAGGACTTCTTCTCGATCACCAACTTCTACTATGTCACCAACGTACTTCTCACCGTCTGGACATGAACATAGAACACCACACAAGCATCCATGCAAACATACACAAAGCAAACAATAGAACTAATTTAGAACAGTACACCAAACATATGAAACATCAAGTAAAAAGGTTTTAAAGATGTTCTACATGTTACTACGAACACACAGACGTGAAAAGCACTCTAATCGGAGCTATAAAATAATAGATTAAACCTAACCTCGAATTTTAGAAGTTAAAAATATATTTAACAATAGGATGAACATGTAGATTACTCAATTATGAATCTAACGTAACTTGAACGTGTCAAATCGGAGTTAAAACGGAGAAACTACGCATAAAATAATATCAATGGCATTTTTGTAAATATTTGGAAATCAATTTCGTATTAAAACCTGAATTAAAACAGTCCTGTGGACCAAGCGTCGTTTTTGAAAAACTGCAGGGGCTGAAACAGAAAATCTAGGGGCATACGTTGAATTATTTTCAACAGAGGGTGGACTGTGGGTTGATTTGAGAAATCTGCAGTGTCCCTTTAGCAAAACAGCCAGGTTGACTGGGTCTCCGCTGACACGTGGCGACAGGCGGCGGCTTCTGAGTGGCGGGTTCACGGTGGACTGCCTGAGTGGCGTCCTGATGCAGACGGTGCGCTTGGTCTACACTGTGCTCATGGACCGAAGAGGTATATTCTAATCCTGGCCATTCGCGATGGATCCGATGGCTGCGAGCGTTTAGGGAGAGATGGTCGCCGGGGCGGTTCTCTGGTGCAGCGGCCCTTTGGCCGGAGAGGCTCGGACCTCGCCGAAGTTCAGCCGGGAGACGTTTCCGGACATCATCGGTCAAAAAGAAAGCACGGGGAGAAAGAGGAAGACACGACGAACTCACCAAGGGTTTTTTTGAAGTCGAAGACGGGACCGCGGCGTCGGGCAGCGTGGCGGGGCGGACGACGAGCTCCGGTGAAGATTCGGCGACGCGGCGCGAGTGAGCTAAAGCGAGAAAAAGAGAGAAAAGGGGCTCGGTGGCTTCGCAAGCTTGACGCGAAATCTCGGGATCGGCTTACGGTGGTAGCGGAACGGCTAGGCGAGCACAGCGGCGGCGAGCTCCTTCACGGCAAGATCCGGACAGCGGTGCTAGGGCACAGGGCGGCGCTGCGGCTTGGTTAAAGATTAGGTGGGAGCAGAGCAGTGCTGGCTCGGTATTTAAGAGGCTAACGGCCGTGGGGCGCACAGTACGATGCGTGAACAGGGCGGAGACGGACTCCTGGACGGAGTCATGGCCGGCTCGGACGCAAGCTAGAGGAAGGAAACGGCGCTGACATGCGGGCCCGAGGTGGCAGTAGCATGGAGCGTGGGGCAGGGTGCCAGCGAGCCAACACGAGGGGAAGGGGAAAACAGAAACGGGCCGGCCTACTGCCGGGCTTAGCTGGGCTGTAGGAGGGAAGGGAGAGAAAGGGAGCTGGATCGCACGGGGAAAAAGAGCAGCTGGGCCAGGGAGAGGCAGCTGGGCGGGCTGGACCAGAAGAGAAGAGAGAGGATTTTCTATTTTCCAAATTATTTTCTATTTTATTTTTAAAACCAAATTGAATTATGAACCAATGCAAATTCAAATAGAGTTTCAAATATACTTTTTACTCAAATAAAAATGAGAAATTTTGGTAAGTTTTCCAAAAATAAATTTTACAACTTTTTAAATTCTTTTATTTCCACATTTTCTTTTCTTTTATTTCAAGCCATTTTCAAATTTACAAAAGCATTTTGAATTCATTTTGAATTTTGGATTCAACCACTCATTGCAATAGATCAAATGCACCGGCATGTATGCATATCCATGTTGCTCCTCCTTATGATGAATTTTAATTTAATGAAAAATTATTATTTCCCTATGTTTTCATGAGCACAAAAATTCAAAATTATCTCAATTTACATCTATATTAAAAGAAGCAAATTTTAGGGATCACCACGGTGTGGCTTCCACGTACGGACCGGGAGCTACGTACTGGCCTGCCCATGCACATGCTACGCGTTCCTTGTAAAGGAAAGGACACGCTGGTCGAGTCCGATCCGTAAAAGGCACGCTGATGCATGATAACTACTGCTAACTGCCAGCGGATCCACGATAAATAGAGGATGAGGCCGATCCAGGCGATGATATGATGGCAACGACTGCCAACAGTACGTGAACGGCGACGGGCAAACAGAAGTGACTGAAAGGTTATATATAGTACAACTTTTATCTCAGTGATTGAAAGGTTATATATAGTACAACTTTTATCTTAAAATTTCGGCTTTAGAAGGCCCTTCATATATACTGATCCTGAAAACAGGAGTGACTTTCAACTTTTCAATGTACCCTCGTGCCCAAGACGCTCTCGACTGCCAAAGGAAGAAGCGACGACAAATTATACTCTTAACTTATGTGCATAACTTTTTATGTGGTAACTTATCACCATAGCTTCTCATTATGACTTTTTAACTTTTTTTTAATTTTTGGGAAGCTATAAAGTTATATTCATAACTTTTTATGTGACAAGTTATCACTACAATTTTCTCATCATAACTTTTTTGACTTTTCTTTTTTTGAAAAAAAAATATCTGCCTAGCTTTCTAATTTGAAAAAGTTACAAAGTTATTCTCGCAGCGCTTATGCATAACTTATCACGGAACAATTTATCACCTCAACTTTTTGACTTTCCCTTTTCAAAGAAAAAATATTTCTGCATTTTTTTTTGGAAAGTTACAAATTGTACTCATAACTTTTTTGATAGTCTTTACATAATTTTATAGACAACTTATCATCACACAATTTTCTTCATGACCATTATAATGCTGATTTTTTAAAATTTTCGCCTCTTTTTGCCAAAAATTAAAGTTTACACCCCTGATGGTCGTAAATCCTTTTTTTGGACCCTGAGGTCGGCACCGTAAGCCACGGCGCCGAGGTAACACGGCTCGGCGTTGTGGCCTATGATGCCGAGGTAGCACGCCGCCGTGGCCTTGACGGTGGCCACTGTGGATAAAATATCCTTGAAACTTAAAAAACATCCTTTATAGAAAATGTGTAGGTTGCATGTAATTAAGAGCACATCAGTTTGCCTATTATTTAAGTCCTAGGCAATATGTGGCATAGATTATGTAACGCTTAATTGACATGGGTGCAAGAGAGCTGATACAATCTCATCACGAATGACAACACAGATGACGATTGGGAACACAGTTTTGTGTACATAATATAGGATGTCTATTAACATCATGTTCTTTCTGCATTCGTTGTTCTATGTTCCTCCTTTTCTCTTGAGACATATTGTATGCAATTTCTGTTTTAAGCTCCCATATGTGACTAATGGCACCATTACTCCATAAAACACTAGTGCTTATAAACATGATATATATGTGTGCATATTATACACACAAGCATACATAATTATGGCCTTATGGGTTGCACAAATGGCTAGACACCAGTTTGCCATCTAGATGGTAGGTAGTACCCGCTTCTTGTAACTCACCATTACTCTTCCTTTAGGCTCTGGCACTAGCTTGGTCCAGTTAGGCTCAGGAAAAGGAGATTCCAATTTTAGCTCGAAGTTTCTTAGCAAATAGCTCCATAACACCTTAATTTGCAAATAAGCATAAGACTCGCCTAGGCAAGCATGCCTTCCAGCACCAAATGATGTGTAAGAAAACTTACCACCAACTCTGTCTTCTTCTCTTCCTGGACCAAACCGGTCAGGGTCATACACATCCGGGTCCTTGTAAATGTGAGGTAAGTTGCTGTTGAATAGCACCAGACTTACTATTGTATGGCCTCTATGAATCTCATACTCATTGCCATCTTTTGTCTGCACAGTGAAGTTCTTGTGTACTTTACGACGAAACATTGGTACTGGAGGATGTATTCGTAGCGTCTCCTTGATGCAACGGTGCAAGGTGTCCATCTCTAGGAAGGCATTATAGTCTAGATCATCCCTGTATTTTCTAACTATTTTCTTTTGTTCTTCGAGGACAGATGTCAAGCTCCTTTTACTAGCAAGCAGGTGAGCACCTGTCCATACACTAGTGATGGTGCTTGTGTGCTTTCCTGCAAAGAGCAAGGAGATGACCAGCCCAATGACCTCTGCTTCCGTTGTAGATCGGCCATCTCCATATTTGGAGTCTATCAAGTTCTGCAACACATCACTCTCAACATTGTCGTATCTCTTACGCGATCTCACAATTTCAGTCAACATCTCTGAGAGCTTGGCCCGTGCTCTGTCACGTCGTCGGTTTGCTGGAGTTGGAGCATACGGGAATAATACGCTGGTTAGGCACATGCCATTGTCGGTGAGTTCATGGAACAGAGTAAAGAACTCATCAAACATCTTTTCCCTGACTTCCTTCCCCAGTAAGCATCGGCCAGAGATTAGCAGGAGTAACTTGTCAAGCTCTTGTTTCAGATCAACCATGCCTTGCTCTCCCCACTTTGCAAAGTAGTCCTGTAAAAATAATAATGCTGCTATAATTTAACTTCTTAATTAAGTGTCCTGTCCTGTGTGAAGTGGGTGACAAACATGTAACAACTGTGCGAACAGTACTTAAATCCCAATAGGAGACCTAGCATTTTTAAGTAAACATGGCATGCTCTGTGCATCGTCATAATAACTAATGATAAATGTCGAAAGTGTTACAATATTTATATTTCAAAAATTGCAATGCCGCAAAAGAGAAACATCTTATCCAGTCAGCTGTAGTTGTGAAAATCTGTCATCTTACATAGTATATACTTAGATAAAACAATACCTAAGATTTTTATGGTGTTTTATGCCAACAAATGGCCCTGTTCATTTCGCTGAAATTTGGCTTATGCTGATGCTTATGCTGATTTATTGTGAGAGGAAAACACTGTTCGTTCGCTGAAAAGTACTGCTGAAGTAGTGCACAATATATACATAGGCACTGATGTAGAGTTAAGTGGTTGACATGACTTCTTTTGTTTGTGGTTGACATGATTTGACCGAACTAGCTAAAGGCAACAATAAGAGGTAATTATTTGTGCTGACCAATAAGAAGGATCACCATGTTGACTAGAAGAATAGTCAGTCCAATTTTATTCAAGACAAAATTATTGTCATTGCACTTTCTTAAATGACTAAAAAATTAAATGAAATCAGGTTTCATGATTATTTGAAAGACTACATGTAGAAGAAATATTTAATCAGGTGCTTCCTCAGTCAATAATATAATATTCCCTCTGTCCCAAATTAAATCAACTTCTAGAGTTGTCCTCAGTTAAATTATTTTAAGTTTGACGAAATTTATAGAAAAGACTATCATATTCATGAAATATGTTTTCATAATGTACTTATTTGGTGTTATAGATGTTACCCCTTCCTATAAAGTTGGTTAAACTTAAGATAATATGACTTAGTATGATTCTAGAAATTGATTTATTCTAGGATGGAGGGAGTATCTTATTTGATAAGACATGAAAGTTTAGACATGGTCATTTCTCACTTACCCCCACTTCTTGAATCATGGGACCAGCATGGCTTCTCAACTTTGATGGTTTTAGTGCATCAAATGAGATACGAGCCTGCTCATTCCGGGTGGCAGTGTCCACGCCATAGCCTACCTCTTTGCCAAGCATGGGCACAGTGAATTCAATGGCATTACCATGGCTAATCTCTGAATCCAAGCCTTGGTAAAAATGAGCAGAGACCTCGGGCCCAATCAAGAATGTTACCTTGAATTGAAAGAAACTTATTGTGAACACACTCCCCAACCTTGTATATTGATCGTGGATCAGCGCTTGCAGACCCTTTGAAAGAAGTGTATGTAAAACTGGAATGATAGAAACTCCCTTCACTGTTGGTGGCTGTGGCCGAGTGCATTTTGGATCAAACATAATTCCTCCTCTTGTAGCCTTACTTATAACCACAGTAATAAAAACAAGAGCTATGGTGAACCACATAACACCATTTATCATATCCATGATGACACAGTTATTCGTAGAGTGACGGAGTGCAGCAGCTCGGCGTTGACGAAAGCACTGCCTAAGCATGGAATTGAGTTGGAAGTTATATTAGATCTTTACATGTAAATGCTATTATATCACCAAACAAATACAATATGGACACATATTTTAGCCTGGTTATGACAAACATTTTGGCTTTGTTTACATTGTAAGATAAGAAATTCAGGTCTTCATTAGGAATTTAAGAATCTATTGAGCACATGAGGTTTTGGATACAATAAAACCACTGGAAATTTAAAAGGATAACAAAATAATCAAATAAATTTATTGCACACTTACTCCCTTGGTACACACACATTTCAAGATTCACATCGTAATATTTGACAAAACAATTAGTGTACAAAAACATTGTACCGTAAAAGTGGTTGCGTTGGGTTTGTATTTAGAAATATGTTCTAATGTTGTCGGTGTAGAAAGTGACCAATACGTAAATATTTATAGTTTTGCCGTACGTTGTGATCGGATGTGGCCTAGCACTAAATGACACTGGGTTTATACTGGTTCAGGCAAGGTGGCTTACGTCCAGTTTGAGTCGGTCGGTGACTTTATTCCTGAGCTCAGGTGCTCGAAGTTTGTTGTGGGGTTACAAACGAGAGGGAGAAAGATGGGGGGTGTAAGAGGTCCGGTTGGACTCTGGTCTGAAGGGCCGAGAGTGATGGGAACTCCTACGTGCATTGAGTGTTTGAGCGTGTGCTCGAGGTTTCAACCTAGTGGTTCTGTTGTTGTGTGTTGAATCGATCTGAATCGATACAGTCGTCTCCTACTTTTGGAGAGAGCACATCCCCTTTTATAGATGAAGGGGACGGCCTTACAAGAGAGAGAGTGTGTGTACGTGTGCTACTATGTCTTGTTGCCTACGCCGTCGGGTACAAGATGATTGTAGGCGCCCACAATACTGCTCATGTCAGACGCATGTGGGAGGTTTTACCGTGTTGCACCAGGTATGGTAAATGCCGGCGCCCACAACACTTTGGACACCCAGATGCATGTGGGGGGCCTTACCGCGTTAGCCTGGTATGGGAATTGATGGCGCCACAACACTGTAGGGTAAATATCGGTGCCCTCAATACTGTTTGGGTTCTGACATATCTTGTCGGGACTGTCCTGCGGTCAAGCAGGGTACGGTCTTTGGTATGGCGGTTGTCTTGAGTGTCCTGCCTTACTTGCTCTGTTCGTTTCCTGGGTCCTTTACCGAGCGGGCGTCCCCGGTCGGTTGGTCCCAGTCAGCTCTGACTGCGCTAGTCGGAGAAGAGCTATAAGCAGAGGTTCGGCGCATCGCCGGTCATAGACGCGGGTTGGAGTCAGAGCACAAAGGCGGGCGTTGTCCTTTCCTTGGCCAGGCCTTTCGGTCGGAGAGGCGGGCCGGAATCGGAAGCGAGTGCCAGGTCTTCTGGTCGGAGAGGCGGGCCAAAGTCAGAAGCGGGCGATGTTCCTCCTTGGCCAGGCCTTTCGGTCAGAGACCGGATCGCCTTTCTGGCATGTCGTTAGGTTTTTGGGCTAGCCCAGGAGTTGCACATTGTCTGCAACATCATCTGCTGGGCCGAGCTTTTGCTGGGGAGCAGGCCCATTAGGGACCCCGGGTTTATGAACCCGACAGGAGCCCCCGAGCCCCCAAGCGATTCGGGTAGAATCGTCTAGGGATTTTTGTCTTGACGGCGGGTGCGCGCGAGCGCAACCGCGGGTGTAGCCCCCGGGTGATTCGGGTGGAATCGCCTGGGGGGAATTTTGCCTTGTCAGCGGGGGAATTTTCTATTTTGATGGTGGGTGCGCGCGAGCAAAACCACGGGTGTAGCCCCTGAGCCCCCGGGCGATTCGAGTAGAATCGCCTGGGGGGTTTTGTTCAGCGGGCGTGTGCATGTCGGAGTTGCAGATCCAGGGATCAGGTGAGTCAAAGTTGCCAACTAGGGCATCGGGCGCGCCGAGACAGTTTTTAGGGATCGGGAGAGATGGACTCGCGGATCCTGGCGTCGGGCGCAGCCGAGGCGGTTTTGAGGGATCAGGTGAGACAAACTCGTGAATTCAGGCATCAGGTGCAGCTGAGGCAGCTTTGAGGGATCAGGTGAGACGGACTCGCGGATCCGGGTGTCGGGCGCAGCCGACGTATTTTTAGGGATCGGGCGAGGCAGACTCGTGGATCCAGGCATCGGGCACAGCCGAGGCATTTTTAGGGATCGGGCGAGATGGACTCGCGGATCCAAGCGTTGGGCATAGCCCCATCGGGCACAGTCGAGGCATTTTTAGGGATCAGGCGAGACGGACTCGCGGATCTGGGCATTGGGCGCAGTCGAAGTATTTTTTAGGGATCAGGCGAGACAGACTCGTGGATCTGGGCGTCGGGCGCAGCCAAGGCATTTTTAGGGATCGGGTGAGATGGACTAGCGGATCCGGGCATCGGGCGTAGCCCCGTCGGGCGCAGCCGAGGCATTTTTAGGGATTGGGCGAGACAGACTCATGGATCTGGGCGTCGGGTACAGCCGAGGCATTTTTAGCGATCGGGCGAGGTGGACTCGTAGATCCGGGCGTCGGGCGCAGCCGAGGCATTTTTAGGGATCGGGTGAGACAGACTCGTGGATCCGGACGTCGGGCACAGCCGAGGCATTTTTAGGGATCGGGCGAGACGGACACATGGATCCGGCCGTCGAGCACAGCCGAGGCATTTTTTAGGGATCGGGCGAGACGGACTTGCGGATCCGGGCATCAGGCGTAGCCGAGGCATTTTTTAGGGATCGGGCGAGGCGGACTCGCGGATCTGGGCGTCGGGCACAGCCCCATCGGGCGCAGCCAAGGCATTTTTGGGGATAGGGCAAGGCGTACTCGCGGATCCGGGCGTCGGGCGCAGCCATTGGGTTGAGCGTCCTGAGGCTTTGAGCCCCGTTGGGCTCGGTAGGTATCGGTTGATTTTCGTGCGTTACCCCGTCCGCGGTTTCTGCAACCGGAGGGGCTGAGCAAACGTCGCTTGCCTCGATGGCTCGAGTGACGCGCTCGGTGAGCTCGCTAACGGGAATGTTCGAGTGAAATCCGGGTCCATCGTTTGTGACGGTGTCGGCATAGCCCTCATGTGGTATTCCACTGCTCCTTGGCCTACGTCCTAGCAGATGCCCGGGTCATTCCAGAGACCGACCTAGGTGGCCCGCTGGCCTAACCTCGATGGAGATTCTGTGGGCATGGCTCGAGGTTAGGATCGAACGAGAAGGTTGAGATGACCCTGTCTGCTTCAGAGCAGACTGGGCGAGGGCTGCTGGGGCTCACCTATGTTTTCTCCCCTGGCTCTGTTTGACGTGAGGCAGCCTCGAGCCCTTCATGGGCCGGCCTTCGAACCTCGGTGAGTCGTTGCTCATGTTGAATGAGGCAACTACCGCTTCGTGACGCAACATGAAGCGTTGTGATGCATCAACTGCATATGCGATGCTTTGGATGCATGGGATGAATGAGTGAATGCGTGCATGGATGAATGTGTGAATACATGTATGAATGTATGAATGACTGTGGATGAGTGAATGATTATATATAAAGAAATGAAATAAAAGGTTTGGTAAAGTCACCTTGATGACTCGAGTGACGGGGTTTGAGGAGCTCCTATCGGATATGTCCGATCGGGACCCGTGTCCATCGTTCATGATGGAGGCGGCATGGCCCACATGGGGCATCCCGTTGCTCCTTACCTATCTCTCGGTAGTTGCCGGAGCCATCTGATTGGCTCAGGAATCTGTTGGTCCCTCCTCGACGGAGATCCCATCGGTGGGCCCTTCTAGGTCCGGCTTGGGAAGGTGGAGGGTCGCCTACGCATGGTTGCTCCTTGTTTACTGTGCCCGATGTGCGGTAGTGGTGGGTCATGCCCAGGCCACGTCCCATTTGACCAAGCGCCATCTCATCGAGCAGGGTGCGTCCCGTCGGTCAGGACGTGTCCCATCGTATCCCATCCGCATTCAATGGGGGAAGGGAGAGGGTTTTTCGCCCCAATCCTTTGCCCTTCTTCAACCGCTGCATCTCCTCCTTAAATAGGGGAAGGGAGAGGGAAAGAAGAACTCACATACCCATTTGTGAATCTAGAGCATAATGTTGAGCTGGAGGCCATCCAACGTAGATGAGATGGTGCTGGCCGCCTTTGCCGAGAAGGGGCTGCTTCTGGCGAAGGAGGTGGTGCACTAGAGGGTGCTGCATGTCGTCGGCTTTGTCACCATCTGCTAGGCCTTCGTCGGGATGGAGCCACACTGGATTCCTTCTGGCGAATCTTCTCCATGTGAGCCTTGTCGGAGAGGAAGCCGCCCAGGACTGCGCTGGTGGGGGTTTCGCCCTTGCAGCCGCTCAGGTCGGCCAGTTCATAAAGTTTGATGAGACATCCTCCAGCCATGGCGGCCATGCTTCGGCAGGTAGCGTCCCTATCCAGGAGCTGCCTCGTCTGCATGAGAAAGTCCAGAGCTCCATGTTCTTCTGTTGAGCATCTATAGCTCGCTGCTTCGGCATTCGCCTTTGGCATGTGCCGTGGCCTCACTTTTGGCATCTGCCGATGCCGCCGGGCGGCCACAGTAGCATTTAGAGTAGAAGTAGTCAACAAATATAACCGTTAAGTTTGTGGGGGAGCCCCTATGTGAATAGTTTGTATCGATGAATACATCAGTTCTGTTTTGTGCAGTGTTTTCCTAAACGCTAAACGGTAAACAGTCGGTCACCTACCGTTTAGCTATTATTCGGGCAAAACGTCCCATTAAACGGGCTAACCGCCCAATTAAACGGAAACGGCGCACCACCATTGTAGCGTTTACACGGTGTTTAAACGGGCTAAACGGCCGTTTAGACGAACAGTGGTTTTGTGATAGAATCACTATCTGTTCCTTGTTTTTTATCCTAGCATAGCTTTGTTTTTATCCTTTCTTTTTCGCACCTGCCCGTTTGTTCCGTAGGCTACAACTTTAAGAACCTGGGCGTGGCTGCGATCGGTCGGGAGTAGAAACGAAGTCACGTAGGGTAATCAAAGGAATGGAATGCCCTTTCATTCGGGCGAAAAGTTTTTACCATGTGATAGTAAA